CACACCCTTTGTGCAACGTCAAGGGCACGTCACTCTTCCGCTTCTCAAAGCGAATCAATAGCAAAAAAAAAACGAATCAGAAACTAGGTACCTAGTTTTTGGAAAAATTAACCGGCGACCTAGTTTTGGGCTCGTATTCGGTTATTCGAATAATTTATTCGGTTTCTGCCCAGGCCTATTTTGAAATGAAACATGGATGTTCGGGTGTAAAATCGTTGTTGCTACGGTAAATTGTGTCTTACGTATTTTGTTTTTCTGTATTGTCTAAGCCCAGTTCAAATTTCTGTAAATTAAGGAATTCATAAGTGTTTCATTTACATGTCTGTTAACAAGATCTGGACATGCAATGTATTGAAAAAATTAGTCCAGTACGAGTACCGATCTGGTCTGGATCATTTTGCAGTTTGAGTGAGTCAGAGTGGGACACTCGGAAACCACAAAGATTCAACCCCTCTCGCAATGAATTAACGTAAAGTTGTAATTTTGTCAGTAATTGAATTGCTGTTTGAATATTGTATACATGTCTTGGTGTGAATCCTTATCGTGTTCAAGGTGTAGGCTACTTTTTTCTCATGACTTAAGGCTTAGGTTAGAGGGCTGTCCGTTGCCGTTCTTCATCATTGTTGTTGTGGCCGTGCTGTGGTGGTGCGCGAGGCCCTAGATCTAGACCATGCCATGCCATTTGAATCACCTCGGCAAAATTTGATTTTTAAAAAATCTCCCATGGATTGATGTTCTTCTACCTTGTGTGTTGATCGAGATCGAGATCTAGATCTAGAATCTAGTGATTGGTCACAGACTCTCACGCCCACCAGGACTGTTCTAGATTCGAATACTGCAGTACTGAAATACGAAATGAAATGTAAAAATCATAGCATAGAGAGGCCATAGATCGGTGCTTTTTCGGTAGTTCCCACCCCCCTTATTTGAGCCTAGATTCTAGATCTACATCTAGATCTAGATCTAGATATATACGTTTGATGCGCTGCGAGCTAAGCAAACCCAATAGGTAGCGTCAATTGTCACCGAGTGACACAGTGGCAATTGACAAAAATTGACTTTTTGTCAAGGGAGTGTATACTACAGACCCGGTAACCGGGAACAAAGTCACAAAGTATACAGACCCGGTAGGGGAACTTTTGTGATTTCAGAAAGTTTCAGGTTCTTCTAGATCTAGATCTAGATCTATGGTCTAGATCTAGACAGACGTATAAATCATTGATCTAGTTTCGAGGCTAGATCTAGATCTAAATTATGAAGATTGCGGATGTCTTTTCGATGAATGATCGTTTTTCCTCCGTTTTGGAGTTGGAGGAATCACAATTTGAAGAAAAGAACAATTACAATGTCATAATTTCAATCGAGCAGTCACCCTCTCTATTTCTCTGCCTTTCTCTCTTCTCTCTCTCTCTCTCTCTCTCTCTCTCTCTCTCTCT